GTTGGAGAAATTGGAAACGGCCGGTTTGTGTTTTAAAGAAGGGGCACTATCTTGGTATCAATGGGAGCAAAAACGGAGGGATGTTCGTAATTGGGAAATGCTCAAAGAAACTCCTGCGAGCTCGCTTCAGATCGGCACTGGAGGGCACCACAGAGGAACGATTCCTGGCCCTCCAACAAGAGGGTTTGGTGATGAATTACAAGCACTCATTCGAGACACTAGCAGCTCCGATCGGTGATATTTCTGAGGCCATACTAGAAGGCCACTTCATAAATGGGCTGAACCCAGAAATTAAGGCCGAAATCAGGATGTTACAGCCTAGAGGGCTTGAGCAGATTATGGAACTGGCCCAAAGAATTGAAGAGAAGAACAAGGCCATGCAAGCCTACGCTACTGGATCTGGCCCATTAAGAAGTAAATTAAATCCTAACCCAGCTGGGTACCCTTCGTCTTCTAGAAATCAGTCGGGCACTCTCCAGATTTCCAACCCAAAATTATCGGCGACCAGATTTACACCTACTGTCGGTCCGATGTTCAAGAAGCTTAGTGAAGCCAAATTGAAGGTCAAGAAGGAAAAAGGGCTATGTTTCCGTTGTGACAAGAAATATTCCATTGGGCACAAGTGCAAGAATAAAGAGTTGCAGGTAATGTTGGTGTACGATGATGAACGACAGGAGGAGTGCAAAAATGAAGAGCCAACCGAGGAGGTAATAGAAGGAGGGAGACTGACGACCGGCGAAATGGTGGAATTATACATGAATTCGGTGGTGGGTCTTACCCCACCACAAACCATGAAGCTGAAAGGAAAAATTGCCGACGAGCAAGTAGTGGTGCTAATTGATTGTGGGGCTAGCCATAATTTCATATCAGCAGACTTCGTGTAGAAATTGGAGTTGCCTAGAACAGAGACATTAAGATATGGGGTGATCATGGGGACTTGGCGGTGCAAGAGGCAGGAATTTGTAAAGGAGTGCAATTATCCTTGCAGAATATAAAGGTAGTGGAGGACTTCCTTCCTTTGGAGTTGGGGAGTTCCAACGTGATTCTAGGAATGAAATGGCTTTCAACTCTAGGCCAAACGAAAATTGATTGGAAGGCACTCGAGATGAAATTTCAGGTTGGGGGAACTACAATGACCTTGCAGGGAGACCCGAGCCTTAGCAAAACATTGATTACGTTGAAGGCTATGGTCAAAGCATTCAAAGGAGAGGGAGAAGGAGTGCTTCTGGAGCTAGGCAACCTGGGAGTTGACTGTGGGGAGTGGCAGAGAGGGATATCGGTGGAAATTAAGCAGGTATTGGAGGAATTTGAGAAGTTGTTTGAAGAACCCGTGGGGTTGCCACCCCCACGGACCAGAGATCACGCGATTACTCTTCAACCAGGTACTGCCCCTATCAACGTAAGGCCCTATCGCTACCCGCATGCTCAAAAAAAAAGAGATAGAGAAGTTAGTTCGTGAGATGTTAGCTGCTGGGATCATCAAGCCTAGCAGCAGCCCGTTTTCTAGCCCTGTTCTACTGGTGAAAAAAAAAGATGGGGGATGGAGGTTTTGTATAGATTACAGAGCAGTGAACAAGGTGATTGTACCAGATAAGCTTCCCATTCCCGTGATAGATGAACTATTGGATGAATTACATGGGGCCACGATTTTTTCTAAGTTGGATTTGAAGGCAGGCTACCATCAGATTCGGTCAAACCTGATGACATTTCGAAAACAGCGTTCAAAACACATGAAGGGCATTATGAGTTCATCGTCATGCCGTTTGGACTCACTAACGCCCCGGCCACATTCCAATCACTCATGAATGAAGTATTCAAAGAGAAACTGAGGCGCTTTGTGTTAGTGTTCTTTGATGACATTTTAGTATTCAGTCGCAGTGAAGAGGAACACATTAGGGGTTCACTGGGTATTACCGCCGTTTTGTTAAGAATTATAGCAACTTGGCGTGGCCCTTAACAGAAGGATTATGTAAAGACAATTTTTTCTGGGATGAGGAATCAGAACGAGCCTTTAATAGCTTGAAGGTAGCCATGACTACGGTGCCGGTACTTGCTCTTCCTGACTTCAGTAAGCCTTTCATCATAGAGACCGATGCTTCGGGGTTTGGTTTGGGGGCAATACTTATGCAGGACCAGCACCCCATCGCATTTTTTAGTCATGCTCTTAACCCAAAGGAAAGGGTGAAATCAGCATATGAGCGAGAGTTGATGGCCATCGTTTTCGCAGTTCAGAAGTAGAAACATTATTTGCTGGGTCAGAAGTTCTTGGTTCGAACCGAAAAAAAAAGTTTGAAGTTTTTAATGGAGCAACGGGAAGTAAACCCGGAGTATCAGAAGTGGTTAGTTAAATTGATGGGGTATCAGTTTGAAATTCAATATCGTCCAAGAAGTGAAAACAAGGCGGCTGATGCATTGTCTCGAGTAAGTTCTTCATCTGGATTAATGGCAATCTCAGTTCTAGCAGTGGTGCAACTAGAAGTATTAGCTGAAGAGGTAAGGGCACACCCACAATTGCAGGGGGTCATCCAGGACATCACCAGAGATTCCCTCAGCAGGCCTGATTATGCAATGGTAAATGGTCAATTACTATTTAAAGGAAGGTTGGTGCTACCCAAAGGGTTGACATTAATTCCCATACTACTACAAGAGGGACATGATGGCAAGTTAGGAGGCCACTCTGGATGGTTGAAGACCTACAATCGGATAGCAGCAAGTGTATACTGGGACGGAATGAATGAAATCAGACATAAGCAAGTATGTTAGACAATATACGGTTTGTCAGCAAAACAAGTACAGTGCTCTCTTACCGGCAAGCCTTTTACAACCACTCGCTATTCCAAATCAGGTCTGGGAAGATATTGCCATGGATTTCATCGAGGGGTTACCGAAGTCCGGGAATATGGACACCATTCTAGTGGTGGTTGATAGACTGAGTAAATATGGGCACTTTATTGGACTCAAACATCCTTTTACGGCTGCTAGTGTGGCGAGAATTTTCATCAAGGAAGTGGTACGACTCCATGGAGTACCGCATTCCATCATTTCAGATCGAGATAAAGTTTTTGTGAGTCATTTTTTGGAAGAGTTATTCAGGTTGCAAGGAACTAAGCTCAGCCGAAGTACAACTTATCATCCCTAGTCCGATGGACAAACAGAGGTATTGAACCACAGCTTAGAAACTTATCTTCGATGTTTTGCTTCATCTCAACCTAAATCTTGGTTAAATTGGCGGCCATGGGCAGAATTGTGGTACAACACGTCCTTTCATACAGCCACCAAAGCTACTCCTTTTCAAATTGTATATGGGCGAGAACCCCCAACTTTGGTGAGAATTGAAAGAGGGTGCACTCCAATTTCAGTGGCAAAACAACAATTGTGGGAACATGATCGAATACTAGATGAATTAAAGGCACAACTACTCCGAGCTCAAGCTAAAATGAAAGGCATAGTCGACACTAAACGCAGAGATATCTAGTTCAAAGTTGGGGACTTGGTATACTTGAAGATCAGACCATATCGCCGAAAGACTTTGGCTGCCAAGAATAATGAAAAATTGGCTCCAAGATTCTATGGTCCATTTGTAGTGGAAAAGAGGATTGGACCAGTGGCGTATAAGCTGTCCTTACCACCCACATGTAGCATTCACCCGATTTTTCATGTATCACAGTTGTGCAAGGCAGTGGGAGCAACACATGCTGTGGATGAAGTGCCTAATCAATTGAATGAGGAGTTAGAAATGTTGGTGGAACCTGAAGCAGTGCTGGGGGTGCGACCTGGATCAGGTCACAACATTAGGGGACTGGATGTGTTGATTCAATGGAAGGGGTTGCCACCATTGGAAGCAACGTGGGAATCGTATGACCTGTTGAAACAGCAATTTCCCTCCTTTCACCTTGAGGACAAGGTGAGTCTTGTTGGGGGGAGTAATGTTAGACCCGCAATACAGGTCACCTGTCAAAGGCGCAAGGGTAGTAGAGGAAATACACAGGGAGAATAAGCCACATGCACGGTTACATAATATGGTTGGGGGGAATAGTCTAGAAGCAGAATTTGGCATTCAACAGGAGAGTGGTGAACCTCTCGAAAGTTCACAACCATATCTTATCATTTCCTTCTGTTCTTTTGTAATTTTGATTTAATCGTCCTTTCACAGAACTTCATTAAGTGTAATTCCAGTTAGTTAATGAAATTCAGCATTCAATTATCTCAAAAGTGTGATAGATAAATTGTCATTATCCCAGGTTCCTAACAGGTTCACTGGCGCTTCTATGTGTTTGGATGGGTTATATGAGATGATTTGGTCCTCACAACAGAGTTCTAGTGAAGTTGATAGGATACTGGATGGTTTGAAAGGATTTTTGATGTTTTACAAGAGGATTTAGCCACTGCTGTATGATTTAGTGACTTCTCTTTTCGAACGTACATCAATGTGTGGCTTTAAGCATATTCATTAAATCATCAAGAGTTTTACACCTGTTTTGCAAGAACAGATATATCATATACAACCTGATTCCCCTCAATTAAACAAAAGAATATCCCATTGAAGAAAAAGCTCAAGGCCTTGCCTTATGCTAGGTGACAGGTTCATACTACATCTGTTCGAATTCTTTATAATTCCAGTTCAGATTGATGGTTGCGTCATTTGTATATGGTTAATTCTGTTACTCTGATATTGCAAGAAGTGATTTGGTCCTTAAGACATCTAAGACATGTATTCGTGTGCGTGCGTGGTTTTTATTCTTTTAAGTTTTTCAACTTGGGTGGCGGGTGCAAAGTCCTGATTATTGCCCTGGCCTCATTCTAACTCATGTTCATTGCTTTATATGATTGTACCTTTTTTTCATTTTACTCCCTAGTGTACAAGTATCCATCACAAGCAGTACAGAGACAACAAAAAGCAAAACAGTTATAAAAATGGAGAAAGAGAAGATATTGTTACACAGTACTCTACATGATAACAAACAAGATTTTAAATCTTGTTTCTCCTTTAATTCCTCTCATATGCAAAAATCTAGCATACCAAACATATCATAAAAGATAGGAAACAACTATCAAAGGAGTACCTTGTGTCTGATGGAAAGAAATAGAGGGCAATACTATCATCGCTGGGCTGTGACGTCTCAAAACTCTTTGGCCACATACGAGACTTTGGAAGCATTTCCATGTGAAGCACTCCTTGAAACTGATTTGCCTCATCAAACACTTTTCGGCAAGCTTTACTGGATATGTGAGCTACAAATTCATCAAGCATACCATTATCTTTGTTCTGTATGTTAAAACTTCCCCTGTCAATAAAAGGAAGAGAGAGTTGCTAATGAGCACCCACGAGAAAGCACTTTACAAGTTTCGGTAACCTGTTTCATATATGTATGATTTTCCTCACCTCCAAATTGGTGTAATTACAGGTAGTGCAGGTTCTTGGCAACCAAGAGCTGAGGAGACATTTGGGAGATATTTTGGAGCCTCCTCATGTGAATTACTTATATTCGGATCAGCATAAATACTATTCCGCCCATGCTCCTCTGAATTGGCTTCACAAAACACAGCATTTTTCATCTTCCTTTTTTTGAAAGATGTCTTGTGCACCAAAGAAGTATGCTCTCCCATGCCCGGCTCACTATCTGATTCACAAGATTGCCGGGAGTGACAGTTTTGATCTCTCTGCTTTCCAGGTCCATGCTGGTCTTTTTCAAAAATGGAGCAAGTACTGCCACTGACCGATTTGTCACATTCAGCCAAGCCAATCTTTGTACAAGTCGCGGATGATTTTGGTGTGGTGTCACCTTCACAAGCATTCCTTTCTGTCTCAAATGCCAACGTATCACATTTCTTCGGTTCTTCTCCAGACAACACTTTGATATCTTCTGAAACTGTACATTCCTCTTCATTGCATGTGACAGCATCACATTTCTCGGGAGCAGATTGTTTTTGCAGTACCACTTCGCAGTCATCACATACCCAATGAACATATTCATCGAAAGTGACTACCTCCATGCAGTAGCTGAAGAAAAAACAAAGTTAAAAAACAGGAATAGGATGAAAATCCCCCAAAGTATCAATCTAACCCCCAGCTCCAGAATGGGTACAATTCACGTGTACAGACAGTGCAAACGATGAGATAATGAGAAATTGCATCATTGGTCTCTAATCTATTTGTCAAGTAGGAAGTTGATCCCCAATTATCAAAAAAAGCAAGTTGATCCTCAAGCTGTCTTTGTTGCACAATCGGTTCCCAAAAATAGTGTCCACAAACCTTCACATGCCATAATGGAAACAACCAGCCGAAGTTGAGAAACAAACCTTGTTTCATAAAATTGGACATGCAAGGACCACATAGAAATTTAGCGGAGGTTTGGATAGTTTCCGTCGTAGAAGACTGATAGTGTAAATATTACGAAAATTTGAAGGCCAATTTGCTAATCATCTAATAACTTGGGAACCAGCGCAATTTTCCCTAAGATAATGGTTGAACAAACAGAAAATCAATTTGCTACTCATATAATATCTTGGGGACCAGTGGTACAATTTCCCTACGGAAATTAAAAATACAAGTACCAATGATTTGCAGCAGGTCAATTTAATCCATCTTATGCCAAATTTGCTGGAGGCTCTAGCCCCATTATACCAAATTGACATTTTTAAAAGTCAGGGAAATTAAAAATACAAGTACCAATGATTTGCAGCAGGTCAATTTAATCCATCTTATGCCAAATTTGCTGGAGGCTCTAGCCCCATTATACCAAATTGACGTTTTTAAAAGTCACTGACACAACATAGAATTAAATTTATTTCTGCAAATTGTTTTCTGTATATAGAGAGGGGGAGAGAAGGGGAGTACAACATAAGTTGAACAATTAACAAAGAAAATCAGCAGTACAATTTACCGATGCAAAACACAGTCAAGACAATTGACACAGTAAACAAAGGCATTAGTTGTTCCCTTGTCGCCACATTGCAGACATATCTCCTGCATGATGAATTTATACACCAGTCAAGCAACATAAGGATCAAGTGAAATCGAAAGTGCCAAGTCAAATAATTTCTTTAAAGTTTATCGAAGAAATACTGCTTCAAAAAAAAAAGGGCCATCAATAATCTTAACTTGAACTTTTTTCTTTTCCTCCTAATGTTAAATTAAACATTTAAGATTCATTTCATATCCATGGTTGAGGCATAAAAGCATTAGCCATTTATTGGTAAATAGATGCCGATCATGTGAATGAATTGATCATGTTAAAGTAAATATAAATAGAAAAGAAATTTTTTGGTAATGAAATATAAAAATTGAAAAAACAAAATAACAGAAAACTTTTGCAACACAGAAAACAAAGCCTGAAACTACCTTTCACTGGTTCCATTTCAAAATATGATGATTTAACCAACTATTGAGTACTTTCAACCGGACACTTCATTTGTTGACTAATCTTGCAAAACAAAACTACTAATAATTCAGTTACGAAACTATTTAGCCCTTGTTATTTTCTTAAAAATAATGCTATCTAGCATCAGTCTAGGTGGATATGTTTTATAGGTTCAATTAAATGAGTCATGTGACTTTGAATTTAAATACATTATATATCTTTCATTTAATATCATGTAACTGTCACAACTGATGCTTAACACCAATGCTCAATGGTGATAAATAGCATTACTTTTTTCTAAAACTCATTTTTAACCACACATTTTTTGAGACCCACAACTTTTAACAATTTTTCAATCATACATTTCATTTAAAATCCTTTAAAAATCTGATTTTTAACTAAACCAAACATGGGCTTAGTAACACATGAAAATAATGAACCTCAATGTTCGTACCAAAAATACAAATTTTACCACAAAGCCATCAAACAAGTGACAGCTTTATCTTATTAAGAATGATATTCATTCATGCAAACCAGCAATTACAAATGAACATGTAAAATATCATAAATGCAGAATTTGCATAAATCTGTAGCCATTTCAATTGCACCCATCAAGCTAAGTCTAATTGGAGTTATTCTCTTGTTCTTGTTGGAGGAAAATATACAACAAAATTCTAAGAGTGGGCTACATGAATTCTTTTCCATCATTAACCAGTTCTAGGTCTACTGAAGCCTGAAGGTCTAAAACAACAAGATCCGTAACAATTACCCAAAAACAAGTTCTATTTGGCCCCTTGATTGGTGTAGATAAAAAATTGATAAAAATGTCAAATTAAAATCAATAATTAATTTTAATTACACATTTCATCAACTTCTATAAAATTCTACTATTTTAATCTACACCACACAGGGGCTTAGTTTATCAACCCCCCCCCCCCCCCCCCCCCCCCCTGTCATGTTGTACAAGATCGTTGGAGGAAAAAATAAGAAACTTTAATAATGTCGTAATACTACTAAGAGAAAGTGATTAACCATATATCTATACATAAAGAATTCAAAAAATATAAACCCATTTTGGCAACGACTTTCCGCATTCTCTAAATCAGATTCCTTCACATATTTCAATGTAAATGCAAAATTCAGTACTTCAGAATATACATCTTTATTCTATAGTTGAGACCAGACCAAAACTTTTTAAGTCCATCATAAATAGATTTTATGTAACACAATGAACACATCACGATCTTTCCATTAAAAAAATCGTCAAGTGTCACATGTCCATAGTCCATACCCTCACAACAGAATACACACCCATAATACCACTTAGGGGGTAAGCAATTCTAAAAACTTGAACACATCTTTCTCTGTGAACCGAAATTCCTAAGACTCTCAAACTCACTCACCAACTTCAGTGTCAGATTTTGATTGGCCGTCCCTCCCTTTCTTGTAGAAGGCCAAATGCGCTAATGAGAAAATATTTTGGCAGAATCAGCACAAGAAGATTATTCATCAGTTAACCGGGAAAAGTCTTGCCATAAAACATAAAACGGAACCTCTGTTATAAACTTGGGAACCTAATTTTCCCAAATAACATCAAAAACCAACATCAGGGGTTCTGAAGCCCAACTACAAGCACATTAAATGAGCAAGCAAAATTTAAAGAACAAAAACCCATTCGTGAAACAAGCATAAACTTCAACTCCTAGGGCAAGGAAAAGTGACAGGAAAGGGTAAATGAAGAAAGAAAAATCAGGCTGGAATGCAGCAAAATTTCCTTTAATGCCAATTAATTAAAGACATTCAACAATGTCATGTGAAATACCAGCAAACTGAAGCGTAGATATACGAATATATACGATGCAGGTACAAAAAGACCATAAAAACTCGGAGAAAAATTGAGGCAACACTAGAGGGAGAAAATTACCATGATTGATGTAAATTCAGACGGCCCAGGAAGAGTTAAATTTTCTGATGTAAAATTCTTTATTTAACAACGAAAACTTGGAGCGAAAAGCGAGCCTTTCAAATGGACAAGGTAAAGGACGAATTTCAGATCATTATTCTTTTTCCCGTTCGGGTTGGGGCTTTGGGGTTAAGAGGGATATCTATAATAAAAAATTGGTGAAAGGGTTTAAGGGAAGATTATGTGAATTAAGATTAAATAGTAGTTTGGTTTTTCTGAAAATGTAAATTTGGCTCGCGAACTCGAGCGGTCCATAATTCAATCCAATAAGAAACCCGAGTCAATTCGGCTTGTAGTTTGAAAGAATCGAATCAAGGCTTAGATCGAGCCCTATTTTGAGACATGGCTCAAGCCCAAGCCATCCCCTGCGTGTCACTGACCATTTCGGCCCGTAACACAAAAAAAATGGAAAAGAGAGCCACCTGCCGCCTATCCTGTTAAGGTAGCAGCAAGTGCTTTGAGTCTTTGATTGAATTTTGAATTTGAAATTTAAATTTGGTTGAAATTAATATATTCTTTTACTATAAATATGAGGTAAAATTTTGAATTTCATATCAATTTTGAGTTTTATTTAATTTATAATTCATACAAATTAAATAAATTTTAAATTCTTTAAAAAAATGTTAGATTTGTCACAAGAAAAAAAAAATTGAGCCGGCTTGACTTGACCCGCTAGGGCTTGATTTGAAAACTCGAGTCAAGTTTAGATTTTTTGGCCGAGTAAAAGTTCGGCTCGAACTAAAAAAAGCATGAACCATTTTACTCAAGTCGAGCCTGAGCTTTGAATTTCGACTCTCGAGCAAGCTCGACTTGACTCGATAATATTCCTAGATTTTTCATAAACCCTAGTGGGCCATTAACCAGTACAGTGACAAGGAAAACGAAAGTTAAACTTTGAAAATATTCTATATTTTTTAAGAAAACTGCTTTATTTCTCTGAATTTGTATAGTTTCACCAATAAGGCAAAAACAAGAAGCCAAGGGCCTGTTTAGCTTATGTTTTGATTTTCGATTTTTTGTTTTGAATTTATTTTCAATTTTCTATTTTTGAGGTTTGTTTTCAAATAGTTAAAAACATGTTTGGTTTGTTATTTTGAAAAATTATTTCTCAAAACAAAAAACTACAAAACTAGTTCAATTTATAATTTTGAAAAATTATTTTTTGATATTTTATTCCACGAAAATTATTCAAGAAAAGTAGAACAATTTTATGTTAATATATTAACATAAAATAAATATGTTTTAAAGTTAGCGAATTTTAAAATATTTTTTCTAGCTACAAACGTAAAATAAATAATAAATTGAGTTCAAAATATAGGAAATAAAAATAAAAATTAATGATGTGAATTGATAATGTTTTTATCTTTGTTCATTTAATAGTATTTTAAGATTTTTATGTAAACAATCTTTAAAAGTTTTAATTATTTTTATTCTTTACTTTTTACAATTTTTATTTTTTTAGAAATTTTTATAATTTTTTTTTAAGAATTTTTTTTTTTTAACTTCTTATAATTTATCAAATTTATTTTTCTTGAATTTTATTTAAACGCTTATTTTCCAATTTTATTTTTTTTTTAGTGTTTACAGAATTTTCACTCGAAACACTCAAAACGTCAAAATGCATTTTGAATTTTATGTTATAAGTTTATTCTTATTTTCAAAAATGTATTTTCAGAAATACTAGATTAAACACATTTTTAATGTTTTGTAAAATTTAAAACTAAAAACTGCTTGAAAACAGCAAATCAAGCGCACCTTAATTTTCTATCAAACGAAAGTGATAGGGAGAAACTTCGTTCTTTATTGTATGTGTTTTTCATTGAATACTAGTGTTTATATAGGACTAAAGTCAAAAATTCAAAAGACCTTTAAGATCAGAATCACTTCCCCTAAATAAATAAAGTTGCAAAAAGGTTGGACATGCCATCCCCATCAAAATAAATAAAGTTTTCTGAAAAGAAAAAAAAATCCTTGGGAGGAAAAAGGATAAGAGACAGAGGGCAAAAGTGATCTTTTTATTTATAATCCTACATATTCTCAAACGTTTTCAGTTATGGTTCGTGGGCCAAAGAGTACAATACAAGCAAAGGTTCCTAAATTCATAGAAATATAAAACTATCATGCTTGCATTTCCACTATTTGAGTCTCCAACAATTATTTCAATAGTTAGATAACTGATTTGATCTATAGATGAATATGCAAGCTAAGAGCGCGTTTGGTTTGCCATTTTCTATTTTTAAATTTCGAAAATGTCAAAAACGTATTTGGTCTGTCGTTTCCAAAAATGCATTTCTGATAATTGAAAACTCAAAGCGATTTTTTTCCATTTTGAATGTTATCAGTTAAAAAACTCAAAACTCGGAAAAATCACAAAACACGCCTTTTTTTATTCAAGGAATGCTCGATAGTACTTTTAAAATAAGCTGTTATAACATAATACAATTTAATGAAGCATAATAATTTTAAAATCCACAACATTTCGATTTCCATTATTTTTTTTTTTTATCAAAATTTTGAGGAATTATTATTTATTTATTTTTACTGTCCAAGTGACAGCAAAATACATCCAGAAAGATGAAAAACAAACTAGTTATTTTCTTTACAACGATTCCTATTTTTTGTCTATAAATTTATTATTTTATTTTTGTAATTAGAAAAAATAATAAATTCACCAAGTTTAAAATATATATTATCTGATAATATATTAGCATGAAATTATTATGTTTTACTAAATAATCAAATTAATTGAATAAATGTCATAAAACAATTTCTAAAAATTTATTATTTATTATTTTACTTTTGTAGCAAGAAAAAAATAGTAAATTCACCAAGTTTAAAATGTATATTATCTAGTAATATATTAACATAAAATTATTATGTTTTACGAAATAATCAAATTAATTAAATAAATGTCATAAAACAATTTCTAAAAATTTATTATTTATTATTTTACTTTTGTAGCAAGAAAAAAATAGTAAATTCATCAAGTTTAAAATGTATATTATCTAGTAATATATTAACATAAAATTATTATGTTTTACGAAATAATCAAATTAATTAAATAAATATCATAAAACAATTTCTAAAAATTTTAATCCAAATGCATTTTCTAGTTTTCTGTTTTGAGAAATCATTTTTCAAAATAATAAACCAAACACGTTTTCTGTAATTCGAAAAAAGTCTCTTAAAACAGAAAACTAAAAATGAATTCAAAACAACTTAAAATAGAAAATGGAAACACAAACCAAAAGCACCCTAAACTTTGCATGCCTATTAGAGGTTTTTAGAGCCTAACTTCTGCTTTTCAAACAAATACATGCATTTTATGTGTTTGGTAAACTTAAAATGTTCAAAAGATTATTATTAAGTCCCTGTTTGCCCCCATTTTTGTTAATGAAAATGGGGGGAATAGTGTTTTGTTGAAAAAATGAGTAGTTGAAAAGGAAGGAAAATTTTTCGATTTACGTGTAATATTATTTTATGGAAGATTGTGTGGTTGAAAATAGGAAAGAGAAAAATAGAATGTAATGAAATGTAATTTAATGGGGATCAAACAGGGGCTAAATAATCTGCACCGATTGAATCATGACGGTCGAATCATGAAAAGTAGTAAAATGATAGCTTTTCAAGTTTTGCTTCTAATTTCTCTAATTATCAAATATTAAAATGTAAATGTTAACCCCTATGAGCAAAAGTAATTTCTTTCTTATCTTTACTTTGTAGTATTCTGCATTTATTTGTTATTCAATTCTATTATAATATAGTCTTATTTGTCATTCACGTTCGAAATATTCCCCTTTTTTAACTTAATCATTGACCTCTCAAATTATTTTCTAATGCTAAAAAATTTTGGGATTTGATAAAATTTTATTTCATTTTTTTTTCCAACATAAATGGTAAATATATTGTATTAAATAAATATTTAATAATATTATCCATCTGTCAATTTATAGGTGGTTATACTTTCATGAAGGCGTAAAAATACTTATTTATTGCTTATATTTTTAAGTAAACAAAAAATAACAAATATAAAATTATGTAATTATATTTGCAATTTTTTTCGAGACACGAGAAAATACCTGAACAGAAAACCTCATTAGGGACCATATATACTAAGTAACAAATGCAACAAAAAAATGACAAGAACATAAGTGCTGGAATAAGCAATTGTTGAGGACTTTTAGTGCAATTAAAAAGTGATACACCAAATAAAAACTATAGGAACAATATAACCATGCATCAATTTTATAAGAACCTATTTGAACCCCATTTTTAGAGAAAAATGCATTTTGGGATATTGATTTGATAGAGAATGTGTGGTTATAAAATATGGAAAAGTTTTGAGTTTGCGTTTAATATTATTTTATTGAAAAATGTGTAATTAAAATGAAGAAAGAGAAAAATGTATTTTAAAAATAATGAAAATCAAACAAGGACTTTTATTATTAATATTTTTTTATCTTTCACATCGAACTACTCAATCTTCCGTTTTCTAAGCACTTTCATCTTTCTTTTCGATTTTCTCTAGCAAAATAGACGTTAAAGGACAATTCGCCCTTAAGTTTTGATAATAAGAAACAATATTTGAAAAAACCTCAAAAACAAGTTTTTATTACTTCAAAATTGACAAATTTGACATTTTCTAAGCATTATTCTCACTGAAAATAATCTCTCTAAGTCAATGCTGTAGATGTTGAAAAAAAAACTAGTTGCAGTAACATGAAAAACAGTAAAATATGGAAAATAAAACTTATCGACTGATTGAGCATCTTGACAACACGATGTCCTAAAACTAAAGTGAAATTCCCTACCGTTTGTAGACAATCATTCTTAGGACAAATAAACAGCTTGTGTAGTAATTTTTCCAAAACCAAATGTGTGTTTATACAGGCAAAATAGATATAACCATCTCTACCATGATCCAGAAATATTTGCAACATTTAATGGCTTATTGGTAATGGCTCATTAATAATGGGTGGTTGAAAAATTATCATATTATAGTGGCTAATTTGACCAATTAAATAATTTTGAAAATGATTAAAATAAAAGCATATATTATTTTAATGAAGGAAGCCCAAGACCCAATCAAAAACTTTTTAATTATTGCCTGAGATGTGTCCCGAACACTCCCAACCTCCCACACAAATTCCACATTTTCCACCAATTGAACACTTTATCTAAATTAGTTATTTCTTTCACATATTATTTATTGTATAAATATTTAACAATTCCCCCACTCCCTCAAAAAGTATCATAAGAGGTTCCATTTCTTCATAAAAAGTCACATAGTATCACTAAAAGCAAAATATTCATGGTCTCGGAGTCGGGAGAAAATTGAGGATGCAGCTTGTTGAAGACAGAACTTCCTTTTTTCATTTGCCGCTGTGTACAAAATGCTCGAAGCAGCATTGAAAAGTTACAAAATGCTCTTATATCCTTCTATTTATCCAATTTATTTTGATCAAATGTGTGGAATTATACAATTAAAAGCAAAAAGTCATTTTTTAATTGTTTCTAGATGATTAATCAAACAAGTCAAATTATCTTATGTTGAAGTGCCACAATTTGCAATATGAAAGAAATAAAGAACACAATAATTGTTGACAGAGAAAACTCAACGGGGTAAAAACTTCAGGACCAAGACAGTAACCTCTATAATAGACAATGTTAAACTTATAGTACGATCCAATCTAAAAAAATTTAATAGACTCGTCGATCTACTTCCCGCGATCTCCAAGATCCGCCCGAGTGTGCTTCACACATACCAATTCCCGATCTTTAGGAATTGCTTAGTTCCTGTTAATCACCAAAAACACTTTGTTCTTGTTCTTTTATTGTGCTTTGGTCCATCTTCCCTCAATTTTCAGCAACCTTTGAAAGCTTTTGAGAAAGTACCTTTTTGTATATATATAGGAAGTGGGTGTTTTTGATTATATGAATTTGAGGTTTTTCTCAAATATGTGGTCGTATGAATTCAATAATCAACAGATAAATCAAATGCTTGAATATGCCCCTGAATCTTTGAAGGATGATATGTGGGAGAATTATAATGAACAACCACACCAAATTCATGTCAGGGGTTTGGTATATGTAGTAGGAGGCATTTAGGTAGCATGGGTTGGTTAAAACTCTTGAAAAACGTGAACTAGGGTTTTGTGCGTAACATCGTTGCTCAAGCGCCAGATGGACGATAAGGTTTTTGTATTTTCCGCTCTAGTATCAGATGAGCGATATGTTAGGGTAAATCTGACAGCTCTTTCTGTTTTATTCCAAACTCGAAACCTAACTTACCTAATTCATCTATATAATATTTTAACCGACTCATTGACTTTTACAACTTTTCATATTAGTCCTTTGGTCTAAAGAATTGTCAATACATTAAAAATCTAACAAGTATATCGAACTCATTTGTGCCAAATTTGTTTCCTGAAAATATGTCTCCATCTTCCCAATTGCTTCTGTAGTTCCTTTGTAGGATTGAAATGATAAGATAATGCTCATTGACTTCAACGTGCGCAAGGAAGGATGAGTCTGCTCGATTCTTTCCAATAAACCCAGGCTTTGTTGAAGTATTGCATTTGTTTTAGTATGTGGAGAGTCTTTGCAAATGCATCTGAACTTGAAACTTACTGGTCATTTGAGTGCACAGCAAACAATCTACCAAGAAAATTTTCCACAAAAGAGGTCGACAATGCAACCGTTGGATAGGGTTAATCGGCTGAAGTCAAACTAAAGTGTAACTACTCAAGTTAACAGAATTGAATTACAGTTACTCAATTGACACTAAGTGAAAGTATATGATATTTAGCCGAATGTCATGCATCTGAATCTTTCTAAACTTTATAATATATCATAATTAATAACTTCCACATTGCTACCTATTTTATGTTTGTTATTTCGAAGTAAGAATTTTATATCTTTTGTATGATGACTGCCAATTTTCAACCTGTCACTGAATTAGGTAGAGTGTTGATTTTTCTTTTCAGTTAAAGTTCTAAGTTAATTTATTTAGTTCTCATATGTTACTTACATGTTAATAATTTTATGTAACATGTGTCTATTTGTGTAACATTTTGCGATTACTATACAAGATATTATAATAATTTAAATAGGCGGGATAATGTACATATGTTATGCACTTCTCTTTTCTCCAATCCCGTCTGGTTACATTTAGTCCTACCATATCCAAGGGTTCTTTTAACTTTTCTTTCACTTAGGAGATGTTCCCGTTATTTTGAACATACTCTTGTATCGTTTACAAAAACAAGAAGACCTATAAGAATTATCACTTGCTCCAATGCAAAACTAGCTCACCATATACAAGAATATACATAGCTACAAGAAAGAAACAAATCAGATTGAGGATTAACTTGGTACTTTGGTCGGCAAACAAAAGATCACTGTCACAAAGCAAAAAGATATCTGATCTTCCACAGGTCCAACAAGAAAAACAAAGCATTCACAACACATAGAACAAGGAGGCAAGCTTCCATAAATATAGAACAAAAAAAGAATTTATGAACCTCGTAATCTTCAACAAGAAAGTTTGTCTGTCTCTATTCGCCATAGAATATGCTGGTCGGTAGGTCGACATAAAAGTTAAGAAATGCTGTTATATTTATGTGATATAAGTATTAGTGAATGTAATTATAAGACACAATCCCTACACGGCTACACTTGCTCAAATCAACTTCTTCGGTTTGAGAATTACGGGCCGAGTTAGTTATGTCGATAATGCTCGTAGCACTTGTATTGCTTTTCGTGTTTTCAGCTTTATTGCTCCGAATATGGGGTTCTCCGAAGGCAATGGAAAGAATTCCGGGCAGTTTAGGTTGGCCTATTGTGGGAGAAAGTTTCTCATTCATCTCCGAGTTCTCAAGTCCTGCAGGCATATTTAGTTTCATGTACAAGAGACAACAAAAGTAAAAATCAAAAAACCAAATTATTAGCTAATTATAAGTTAAAAAGTAATTTACCTTGATCTCAATGTTTGTCATCTGTTTTAGGTATGGAAAGGTGTTTAAGAGCTATGTATTGGGAAGATATACAATCTTCATGACAGGGAGAGAAGCTAGCAAGATATTGTTAACAGGTAAAGACGGGCTAGTGAGCTTGAATCTCTTTTACACAGGAAAGCAGGTCCTTGGGCCAACAAGCTTGCTTCAACAGACGGGAGAAGCGCACAAGAGACTTCGCCGACTGATTGCAGACCCCCTTTCGGTTGATGGCCTAAAAAAGTATTTCCCGTTTATCAACAATTTGGCAGTAGAGATGTTGGATCAATGGAGTGGAAGAAAAGTATTAGTTCTTGAAGAGGCTTCCACAGTTGAGTTTCGAAACCTGTTATAAAAAAAATGTATATTAGATAAGAATAAGTATTCTTTACAGCTATTTCTCAACATATAAAAACTTTTGCAGTTCACACTAAAGGTGATAGGCAACATGATAATGAGTTTAGAGCCAGCTGGTGAGGAGCAGGAGAAGTTCCGAGCTAATTTCAAAATTATTTCTTCCTGTTTTGCCTCATTGCCATTTAAAATCCCGGGAACTGCCTTCTATCGTGGTATCAAGGTATCATTTTATTTTTGACGCATGTAATTAAACAGAACAGGGCATAATCTTAGGGAGATGGATTCAGAAAATGTACTGATATTTTCTTTCATCCTGATAGGCTCGTGATCGAATGTATGCCATGTTTGACTCGACTATTGCCCATCGAAGAAAGGGTGAAACCTTCAAACAAGATTTCCTTGAATCTCTTCTAAAGAAGCATAGTAAAGAAGTCTCAGAAGGAGAAGATGATGATAAACTCACAGATGCACAACTGAAGGACAATATATTGTCCCTACTGGTTGCTGGTCATGATACCACTACAGCTGCTTTGACGTGGCTTATTAAATTTCTTGAAGAAAACCCTGTTGCATTAGAACATCTAAGAGTAAAAATTCTTCACACTTCTAGAATTTCATCCATTATTTTTCATAAATGCTACAGATGAAATCATATATGGGTTTTGCAGGAAGAACATCTTACTATTCAACGTAACAGAGAGAACGGATCAAGTCTTACCTGGTCAGAAGTTAACAATATGCCGTACACCAACAAAGTTAGTAGCATCCCAATCACTCATTATTTTATAGTTTTACGGAGTTTTTCAAGTTTATCAACTGAATTATCTGGTCCTTAAACTAATAGGTGATTAATGAAACTCTTCGAAGAGCCACAATCCTACCTTGGTTTTCAAGAAAAGCAGCGCAGGACTTCGATATTGATGGTAAAGTTCTTGCCAACTGGACATCCTAGACAAATATTCAAAGATGTTTTGATATTAAACTAAATTCTTATGAACTTTTTAGGGTATAAAATTCAAAAAGATTGGTCTGTGAACTTGGATGTTGTGTCTATCCATCACGACCCCGAGTTTTTTCCTAATCCACATAAGTTTGATCCATCCAGATTTTCTGTAAGCTTCTCCATGGACATGAGTAAGGGTAATTCTTTCATCCTTCTCTTTGCTTAATAAGAAATGGTTCTTCGATATTTCAGGATCCTATTAAACCTTATAGCTTCCTCGGGTTTGGTAGTGGACCCCGTATGTGTCCTGGAATCAACTTGGCCAAGCTGGAAATTTCTGTTTTCATCCATCACTTGATGTGCAGATACAAGTAAGACTAGAATAAGAGCTTGTTTCATACACTTCACAACTATCAAATATTCGAATTTCTTTTACGCTAGATCACTCCTTGTGTTTCTTCATTGCAGGTGGAAGCCATTAGAGAAAGATGATTCTGTCCAGCCAACATTAGTCAGGATGCCCAAGAACAAGTACCCTATCATAGTCGAACGTGTTTAGAGCAATCCTGCCTACAAGGACGAAAGCAATGTACACGAGGAAAAAGCATATGAAGAAGCAATTCATAATCCTGTGATTTATTTGATCCATTACATGATAATAATGTACAACTCCTGAATAAAGAACCGTTTTCGCGTGAAATTTCCATGAGTACCAAAGCTCATTTTTGTTTAGAATCTTTGAGTACAATCAGGCAAATAATCCTCTTAGGCAGGATTATTCAGTAATTACTTTTTATTTTACTTTTCTGTTTTAACTTGATTTTCTTTACTAAACCACTTGGAACAATACCATCAGCAAAATAAAATGCACAAAGGAGCAGTAAAATCTAAAAGTGTGATTTGAATTTTCAATTTGTTTTCTATAACAAATCAAAGGGATGATCTTCTCTAAGAAAACTTAGAAAAGTTTTGCTACAGACCAACAATGAGGGTCTCAAAGAACCTCAAGCTAATAGACAAACTACTTGTGAAGAGCACAAGAACAGTTATTTATACCGACATCTTCTGCAAGGCAAGGAGGCTGAACTTTCTCATCTCTATACCAGATTGATCGTCCTTGAACTAATTCACTCAAAAAGTAATCCAGCTTCTCAATGGTGACATCCGGCTTCACAACAATATGTGCCATATTTCCCTCACAATCGAGCTGCCAACAGCGTTCAAACTCCTCATCATGAGGTCACTCAAACACAACTGTACTGCTCAGTTCATTGAGCATTGCACTAATTCGTGCTTCCCTATGACGACCTTTCAAATAATAAGCATTCCTACGGCACTTTTGGACTTCCTTCTGGAATCCCTTGTACCCTTTCCTGTTCAAGGTCTATCACAAAAAGATTGGAGTATATCTGCACACCACATGGCATTGGACATCCCACAAACTTATGGCCAGAAACATTCAAACTACCGATGGGCTTCTGGAAACTAACCTTCGTGCCTGCATAGAAAAACGACTGCTGAGGAAAAGAAGATAGTGATAAAGCAGAATTCTCAGTAATTTTAGTAAAACCATATAATCAGTGGACTAAAAGATGATTTTTAGGGGTAGAAGAAGTAGAAAGGTAAAGGTTATAGCAAACAGATAACAATAAATTGCACTTCCATACTCTTATTAGCAGGACAAGAAGTCAGTCTATAACCTTTCTTTCCAGTCCTTACCAGCCGTAGACAGTAGAATAGTCACGCTTTACCTCTTGCCAGTTCCAAAAAACTAGAAATAACCCCAAATGAAGTGTCTAGGATCAATAGAACAGAAAGATTTACTTCTTACATTGTTTAACAGTCAGCCCCCAAAACCACATGCCTCTGCTGGATCATCTCCTTGATCATTTAAATAATCATGACAACCACATTTCCAATCTACGGTGCATCACTTTAGAATTGCTTCTGTTGGGTTTTTTGATACCCAATAATCCCGGACGATGATATTAAACCAATGTTGGATAAGTGAGTTACACATGATAAGGAGTAGGATGAAGTTTAAGCAAATGAATTTGAGTAAAACTCAAAATAGTGGTGATTCGAGTAGTGACTCGAGTGATGAAAGTGGTAAGATGAAGGGCAAGGGACGGGAAATTAATTATCGACACCCAAGATTGAGGACCCAACCCTAAAACTATTTGGACCATTGGAAGCAACCTAATTAATTAGTGTTGCTTATGACCTGACTTCTACACTCATTGGATGACTTATATTGTTGGCCCACTTACCGGTATTTTGTATTGGGCTTGGCCTCACAACTTTGACCTAACCTAAACTATATAAGCTAGCCCCCTTTGGTCTTCTACAACTCACGAGTGTTTGCCTTTGTCTTTGGAAAAACAACTCTTTGCCTTTTACCTTGCTCTTGCTTGGCCGGTTTTCTTCTTCCTCTTCTCCAGCCTTTGTGGCTGAAAACACCATCCATTTTGTGTCCTTAATGGGTATAAAGTAAAGCAACCGGAGTGTGGAAAGAAGTTGGAGGTTTGAGCCGCGATTTGCTTGGGTGTTGAAGGTTGAGATTGGTATACTGAGCCCGGAAAATCCATCAATTGGAGGTCGATTCTTCAACAACTTCTATTTATGTACAGTTCATCCTCACATCTTTTCTCTATGTCCCTTTGATCCATTAAGGCACTTTCATAAACACCTCATGTATACGTACATGCATAAAAATCAAATATTAAACTTGTAATTTCAACCGTGCAAGGTATACAGTAGGAAAGACAAAAATGATTTGAATTCAAGCAAATTGCTTAACCTTTTGACAAATGGCATCATGAGAACAAAAAGAGCGCCATCACAGTGAATTTAGAAATTATAATGTGAGAATCCACATTCTTCAAGGGTCTGTATGACAGATCGAGATCATCAACAGCCCCTTTTAACTGTAGTTCCTGCAATTTGCAAAAAATTGACGAAATTTAGAATATGATACTTGTCTCAACATACTTGCAGGCTAGCAGGCACACAATCACACTCATGAGAGAGAGAGAGAGAGAGAGAGAGAGAGAGAGAGAGATACCTATGTTGACATTGATGATTGCTGGTTTATCTTTGTTGGTAAGCATCTAGTTTTAAAATCCATGCAATCTATCTCTCCTGTGACCAAAGTGGCAACTTTTACACATTCCATTCTGTACATTCTTGCTGATTTGAAGACAGAGTAATGTGATTCTTTCGGTGCATACAAAATTCCATCAGGAAGCACTTCTCTCCTGTATAATTAAGTTATGAACTGTGATCATTGTTAAAACAACCTCCTATTTGATCAAAGAAGCCTCTGTTACTGAAATTATAGCCTCGTCCTCGTAGATACAAAGTCAAATAATACGTACCCAACAAGGATGCCGTGAAGATTACCCTCAGAAGCACAATTTGTGATACATCCCCAGTAGTCATCCTTTTCAATTTCCCATAGACGGGCAAACCAATCTCAAAACCCCCACTTCAAACTGTCCCGAAGGAGCCAAACCTCTTGCTTCTGAGGCCCGACCCTGGTCCAAAGCCACCTAAGCTATAACCTAGGGACTCAAAATTTGAGGGACCTAAAAAAAAAAAAAATTAAAAGCCCAAAAATCCAGCAGAAAATTTCCTTTGTTTAGAGTCTCCTGTACACAATTCATGCTCCTTT